CTTCCTTCCTTCCTTCCTTCCTTCCTTCCCCTTCCCTATTCTCCTTCCTTTCCCGTTCCTTCCTCCCATTCCCTCCCTTCTTTTCTCTCCTTCCTTCCTTCTTTCCTTCCTTTTATTTTTTTTTTTAATGGATTTTTATTGATTTGATTTGTCCATCGGGCGAGGTCCATCGTGGTTAGTTTGAGGTTAAAGGTGTGTGTGTGTGGTGGGGGTTTGGGGGTTTGAGGATGTAACCACCGAGTCAGGTAGTACTTCCCAGGCCTTGACCACTTGACCACTTGACCACTTGACCGTACTTTCTGCAACCCAGTTTGGGAGGTGTCGTATCGCCGATACGGACAAAGGACGCGAGGCCAGTGACTTGGTTCAGCTCGTTTATTGGGGATAAAGTGGGGAAAAGACGCGGCTTAAATGGATCTGGTGCTGGGCGCTGCGGCCAATGACAACCCTTCGAATCGCCCGCGATTGTCTCAGCCCAATCGTGGTCGATTCCGAACGGCCAATCAGTGCCGCGCGCTCGACCGATCCGGTGGCTGCGCGCTTTAGCCAATCCGGCCTGCCGGATTTCGAGAATGGTAGTGTCCGTACAGAACACCCCTCCCTTCTTGGTCCGGTCTTACGTAATGTAGTCCCGTAAGTAGGTGGGGCTCCGTACTTGCCGATTGGACCTGCGCAGGTCTGTTGTTTCCTGGGTGCCGGCTGGTTCGGTCGGGCTCCTCGTCGCTCCCCGCCTCGTTGGTGGAACCGCCTGGAATGGGGAGTCAGGCCGCTCGCCGTAGCGCCCTCCTGGTTTACCCGGGCTGGTCGAGCTGCTGGCTTGGCTGCTCCCGCTCGGGCTTCCGGGGTCGGTTGAGCTGGCTTGGCTGCTCCTTCCAGGTGACGCTTCGAGTGGGTCGCTCTCCGGTTCTTCAGGTGGTGAGTACTGCTGGTTTCTTTTGGGGTGGGTTTGTCCTTCTTGTTTTTTGGGGCCTTCCCTCCCCTCTTGGTTGGTGTTTTGCCGGTTTCCTTTCAGTGTCTGGTGTTTGCGTGTCGGTTGTATTTCCCGCGGTGGTTCTTGATCTCAATTGGTCGATGTGACGTTTCCATGCTCGCCCGTCGGTTGTTTGGAGGCGGTACGAGTGTGGGCCCGTTGCCTGGGTTATGCTTGCCGGTATCCAGAGAAGGTCCCCGGTGAGGTTTTTTGCGTAGACCCTGTCTCCTGGTGCGAATGTTCTGCGTTTGCTGGTGGAGCCAGGGGGCTTCTCTGGGTTGTATGTGGGGTGCAGGCGGTCGAGCGGTGATCGCAGTTTCCTCCCCATCAGTAGCTCCGCTGGGCTCTTGTTGTGTTTGGGGTTATGTGCTGTATGAGTAGCATCCTGTTGATCTTTCCTTGTATGTCCCCGGTTTCGATTTTTTGGATGGTTTTCTTCGTGAATTGTACCATTTTCTCCGCCCTTCCGTTCGCCGCCGGGTGCGCTGGTGCTGTTAATGCGTGTCGGATCCCGCGTTCCGCCAGGAATCTTTCGAAGGGTAGTGCGGTGAACTGGGGACCGTTGTCCGACACGAGGACATCAGGGAGGCCGTGGGTTGCAAAAAGCTTGCCGAGTTCTTTGGTGACGGCTTCTGTGGTGGTTGTCCTCATGTTGCTTACCTCCAGCCAGTTGGAGTAGGCGTCTACTGTCACTAGGAAGGTGTGCCCCCTGGTAGGTCCCGCGAAATCTACGTGGATCCGGGACCATGGCCCCCGAGGGGTTTCCCACTCTAGGACCGGGGCAGCGGGGGGGCTCGGTCTGGATTCTTGGCACTGCTTGCAGGAGGCCACCCAGGCTTCGATCTCCTTGTCCATCCCTGGCCACCAGGCGTGACTTCTGGCCAGGGCTTTTGTCCTGACAATGCCAGGGTGTCCCTCGTGTAGCATGTCCAGGACATTTTTCTGCAGTTTCTCCGGAACTATGACTCTATTCCCCCCACAGTAAACAACCCTTTTGCGTGAAGAGTTCCGTTTGGCGGTTCCGGAAAGCTCTGAATTGGTCGTCTTCGTCCCTTTCCGGCCACCCTTTTTCCACCCATCTGAGAACCCGCGCCAGACGTTTGTCTTTATTGGTTGCCAGGGCAATGTCTGACGCGGTCAGGGGGAGGTTCGGTAGGGTCTCTATGCTCAGGGTGGCTGTGGTGGGTGCTGGGTCAGCGTCCAGGGTGGGTAACGGCGTGCGGCTCAGTGCATCCGCGTGTGGGATTGACTTACCGGGGCGGTGGTTTAGCCGGTAATTGTAGGCGGCGTGGAACTCGGACCACCTCATCATCCTTGGGGATAGGATGTTCGGGGTGGCCCGGTCCCCCGCCAGTATTCCCAGCAGCGGCTTGTGATCCGTGATGATGAGGAAGGTCCTGCCGTAAAGGTATTCGTGGAACTTCTTTACGGCTGCGACGATTGCCAGGGCTTCTTTATCCAGTTGGCTGTAATTTCTTTCGGGTTTTGCAAGGGTCCTTGAAAAGAAGGCGATGGGCGCTTCTTTTCCGTCGGCGAGGGTGTGGCTGAGGACGGCTCCTACGCCGAAGGGTGACGCGTCGCACGTTACCGTGATGGGGAGTGTCTCGCTGTACTGGATGAGGACAGCGTCCGATGTGAGAAGGTCCTTGGTTTTGTTGAACGCGTCCTCTTCTCGTCTCCCCCACGTCCAGGTGGCTGCCTTGTCGAGCAGCCTATGCAACGGTTCCGCCACGGTCACCTTTTGGGGCAGGAAAACATTGTAGAAATTAATCAACCCCAGGAACGCTTGTAACTCAGTTTTGTTTCTGGGTCTCGGGGCTTCCTTGACGGCTTTGATTTTGCCCTCGGTGGGGTGGATTCCGTGCTGATCTTAGTAGGTACCCCAGGAATTCGACCCGTGCCGTGCGCAGTTGGCATTTCTCCCTCTTAACTTTTAGCCCTGCACTTTGGAATCTTTGCAGTACCTCTCTTAGGCGGCCCTCCAATTGTTTCTGGTCGGCTGCGGCTACCAGCACGTCGTCAAAATAGGGTACTACCCCTTTTATGCCCCGGAGGAGCCTCTCCATTAGGCTTTGAAACACCCCCGGGGCTACGCTGACTCCGAATTGGAGTCTCTTGCAGCGGAATGCCCCTCGGTGTGTGACTATGGTCTGTGCTTCTGCGGTTGCCTCGTCGACCGGCAGTTGCTGATAGGCTTGGGCCAGGTCGAGTTTGGCGAAGACCCTGCCCCCCCCCCCAGTGAGTGTAGAAGGTGCTGCACTACTGGGACGGGGTAGGCGCTTTGTTGCAGCGCACGATTGAGGGTGGCCTTATAGTCCCCACAGATTCTCACTGAGCCATCTGGTTTCACCGGGGTGACTATAGGGGTCTCCCAACTAGCGTGGTCTGTTGGCTCGAGTACTCCCTGTTCGATGAGCTTATTTAGTTGCTCGTCGATTTTTGGGCGGAGGGCAAAGGGTACTCACCGGGGCTTGAGGCGGATTGGGGCAATGGTGGGGTCTAGACTGAAGGTTATCGGGGGCCCTCGGTACTTGCCAAGGCTGCCGTCGAAGACCTCTTGGAAGTCGCGTGCGAGTTGCTCCTCCCAGTCTGCCTCGGCGACGTGGTTGGTGCCGGTCACCTCTATTCCTAATGGCGCGAACCATTGGAGTCCCAGGAGGCTGGGGCGGTCCTTCTCGACGACGGTCAGGGGAAGTACTTCGGTGTGCCCCTCAAACGTGACCTTGAAATGCCCGATTCCTACCACGGGGATGCGATTCCCTTGGTAGTCCTTGAGGATGAGTTTCTGGCTTTCTAGTTCGCGCCGTTGTATGGAGGGCACTAGGCGCTTGATTTCCCGCCATGCGACCATGGATAGGTAGGACCCGGAGTCCACCTCCATCTTGCAGGGGCGGTCTTCAATGGCGACCTCCACGTGGACCTTTGGGCCATCCCAGTTGGAGGAATGGCCGACGATGATCGTCTGGTGTGTTTCCTCCCGCTGGCGGTTCTCGTTGAGGCGTCGGCTCCTTGCTTCTCGGCTCCAACGGCTCTCGGGGTTTCGGTCGCGGTTCCTCGGGGAGGTGCTGTCTCGTCTCCTCGGGCTGTTGTCTCGGCGCCGGGGACTGTAGTTTCGTTTGAAACGGCGGACCTTGGCAATGTGGCCCCGCTTGTCGCAATGCCGGCATATTGCATCGAAGAACCGGCATTCCGACCGGGGGTGTTCGCCGCCGCAACCCGCGCACTGGAACTTCGATTTGCGGCTTCGCTGATCGCGCCGGTCGCGCCCCGCTTGCAACCGGTGGATGTCTTCTTCATCGTCCTCGGATTCAGAAAGGGACTCGAGGTCGCCGTGATGGGTAGATGCGGTCGCTCGGTGGTCGGTCTCGGGCCGTCTCTCGGGGTTCGTGGCCGTCTCGGTCGCGGTGGGCCGCTCCGCGGTGCTGGTTTGCCGCATCTGGGCCGCTGATCTCCGGGTCGCTTCTGCTGCGGTGGCCTGGGCGAGGGCGTCGGTGAGGGATACGTCGCCCCTCGCCATGATCCGGCTCTGTAGTACGGGGTCCTTGAGGCCCAGGACGACGCGGTCCCGCAGGGCTTCGTCGAGGTCGGTGAACCCGCACAGGCCCCCGAGGTCCCTGAGGTCAGCCACGAAATCGCTGATGCTCTCGCCCTGCTTTTGATTGCGTCGGTAGAACTCGTGCCGGCGGATGAGGGTGGGCACGGCGGGCGCGTAGTGACTTCGCAGCAGGGGTTCGAGATCAGCCCAATCCATGGCCTTCACGTCGAGGGGCTCGGCGAGGGCCTTTGCCATCTTAAACACTGCGGGCCCGCCGTGAGTGAGGAAGACGGCCCGTTTTCTCTGCCCATTCGCGTCCTTGAGATTCCTGCTCATGTTGCCGGTTGCGGTTCCGTGGGCCACGTGCGGTGTGGGACTTTTTCAGAATCCCACCTTCGTCGCCAGCGTCGTATCGCCGATACGGACAAAGGACGCGAGGCCAGTGACTTGGTTCAGCTCATTTATTGGGGAAAACACACGTGGGGATCAGTGGGGGAAAAGCCGCAGCTTCAACGGATCTGGTGCCGGGCGCTGCGGCCAATGACAACCCTTCGAATCGCCCGCGATTGTCTCAGCCCAATCGCGGTCGATTCCGAACGGCCAATCAGTGCCGCGCGCTCGGCCGATCCGGTGGCTGCGCGCTTTAGCCAATCCGGCCTGCCGGATTTCGAGAATGGTAGTGTCCGTACAGAACAGGAGGGGTTTACCTTGAGTTTGTCTCTGTTTGTGTTCCTCTTTGTGTTGTTGTGGTTGAAGCTGAAGTGGTCACCGACAGAGAGGAGATTGTGTCGTGGGGGGGCGGGGGGAACGTGACCTTTTTGGGGGGTTTCCTCAATATTTTCTTGCCTCCTCCGTCCTAGAGGGGAGAGATGGCCGAGGGAGGGATTGCAAGAGAAGGAACGGGCGGTGGCGGAGTGGCAACTCCAACGGCCTTAAAGGATGCGTTGGGGTGGGGGGGACATGTTTGGAGAGCCCTGCTCTAAGTGCTAATAATGCTGATAGGAGGGGGAGGGGGGAGAGGAAGAGGAGGGGGAGAAAGAGGAAGAGGAGGAGGAGAAAGAGGAAGAGGAAGAAGGAGAAAGAGGAGGAGAAAGAGGAAGAGAAGGAGGAGAAAGGAGGAGGAAGAGGAAGAGGAAGAAGGAGAAAGAGGAGGAGAAAGAGAAAGAGAAGGAGGAGAAAGAGGAGGAGGGAAAGAGGAAGAGGAGGAGAAAGAGGAGGAGGGAAAGAGGAAGAGGAGGAGAAAGAGGAGGAGGGAAAGAGGAAGAGGAAGAAGGAGAAAGGAGGAGGAGGAGGAAGAGGAAGGGAAGGAGGAGAAAGGAGGAGGAGGAGGAAGAGGAAGAGAAGGAGGAGAAAAAGGAAGAGAAGGAGGAGAAAGAGGAGGAGGAGGAGGAGAAAAAGGAGGAGGAGGAGAAAAAGGAAGAGGAGGAGAAAAAGGAAGTAAAGGAGGAGAAAGGAGGAGGAGGAGGAGGAGGAGGAGGAAGAAAAAGAGGAAGAAGGAGAAAGGAGGAGGAGAAAGAGGAAGAGAAGGAGGAGAAAGAGGAGGAGGAGAAAGAGGAAGAGAAGGAGGAGAAGGAGGAGAAGGGGGAAAGAGGAAGAGAAGGAGGAGAAAGGACGAGGAGGAAGAGGAAGGAAAGGAGGAGAAAGAGTAAGAAAAAGAGGAGGAGAAAGAGGAGGAGGCAGACGAGGGCTGAAGTTAGGAGGGTCACAGGGAAACATTGAGTCTGCTCCCCACCTAGAGCAAAAAATCCACCGAGGTGAAGAAGAGGCCCAGACGTGGCATTCAGCTGGTTCGGCCCAGTTCTGGAGTGCCGGTAATTTGGAATAGTTCGGAAAACCGGCAAATACCGCCTCCAGCTGGGCCCATCCACCCACTCCCACTCTTACCTCACCTACGTTACCTTGTTGTTGTTGTTTTACCTCAGCTGATTCGCACAGCCGAGCCGCTGGCCGCGCCTCAGCCGAGTCGATTGTCGCACCTCAGCTGAGCCGATGGCCGCACCTCAGCCGAGCCGATTGCCGCGCCTCGCCGCGCCTCAGCTGAGCCGATTGCTGTGCCTCAGCCGAGCCGATTGCTGTGCCGCAGCCGAGCCGATGGCCGCGCGCCTCAGCTGAGCTAAAAAAACCAGC